GAAAGACAAATTTGGTGGAACCCAGACTTAAGGTCTAGTGTTGTGAATAATTTGGACTTGCCTAAATTTGAGAGTATCACTGTGGTATCAGGAATGGGATATTTGTCAGAAGTAGTATGCTCGTTTAGCTTCCGGAAATCAATAACCATTCTTAAATTTGGATTTCCATCGCCATCTAAACCTTTCTTTGAGACTACATGGACAGGGGAGTTGTAGGGTGAATAGGACTTTCTTATTATGCCGTCTTTAAGCAGAGATTCTACTTCATTATTGACAAAATTCCCTACTGATATTGGGTAAGGGTAGCTTCTTGAGTAAATGGGCTTATCAGTTAATGTGTCTATTGTTGCTACAACGTTTGTGTTGTATGAGAGAGCTCTATTGGGATTTGCAAATGCATTAGAATTTCTTTTTTTCAAAATTTCGATACTACAGGGTACTTCAATTGGCTTGATTTGGGCCGAGTTAACTTGTTGGCACTGGAAAAAGTTAAGCTTCTCTTTTCCGTTTTTGTGGAAAATGAGACCAACCTTAGTGTCAATTTTTGCCTCGATATCTTTCAACAAATCATACCCAAGGATTCCATCGAAAGTATCTAGCTGTGGAAGTATAAAAAAAGTAGCAATCGATCCTAAAATATTTACTTTACATTTCTCAGAAATTTTATTCACACCATTAATAGATCTTAGTTGGAAGGGATAATTTATTGAAGTTATACCTTTCAAAAAATTATGTCTTTTTATAAAATTTTTCGATGTTCCCGTGTCTACTAAAATTTTAAGAACTTGCCCATTCGGTAAGGTTCGGGTAATAAAGGGCAAGTTTGACCTTAGCCTAAAAAATTTACCTCATCTGGTAATTCGGTGTCTCCCATTTCGGAGTACAGTGGTTCGTTTAAAAAGGGGTCCTCATATTCGTCCATTTCGGAAAAATATGGCTCGTTTCTCATAGCGTTGATACGCTGGAGTTTTTGTACGGGTGCCTGAGTGGAGGTGTTATTAGTATAAGGTCTCTTATACTGTTGTTGGTGTTGAGTGAAGTTATTGACATGTTGCCGTTGCAAGAGTGCCTGATTAAAAGCATTATTGGCATAAAGCCTATTAAATTGTTGTTGTGGTTGAGCAAAATTGTTTGCATGTTGCCGCGAACGCTGTTGGTTAGGGTTTGGGCGATTGGAACTACTTCCCTGTTGGTAAGTTTGTGGGTGGTTAAATCGCTCTGAGATATTGCTTCTAATTCGAGGGTTTTGTCTAAAACAGGAAGTTCCCGGATCTACATCCATCGGGACAGGATATTGCATAGAATTATTTGCTCTATTTGGTTGAGGCACAGTGTTAAATAATGGGGAACTTGAGGAAGCTTGTGGCAATCTGCCTGAGGCATATGTATGTGCGAACTCATACCTTTCCCGATTATGTTGCAGTTCCTGCGCTGCAGCAAGGGCACTGGGGAGATCCGGCGGGTTTACTGAAAAAAGTGTGTCGCACAATGGGCGCCTGAGCCCAGAAATGAAAACTCTTAAAGCATTTTCCCTAGCCTTAGAATTAAATGCATGAGTGAGTTGATCATTATTACTATACGTCATAATATTTTTGTTTAAAATTAATGTCAATTGCCTATCAACTGCATCATAATATTCATTAATTGACATCTTGCCCTGCCTCAAGATGTTGAGTTGGCTTTCTAATATATGGAGTGGTCGTTTATCTGCATAAAGTTGATCTAATTTACTTATAATAGCTTTAAAGTTTAATGGTGTGTTAAAAGCACTAAGATTTTCATTAGCTGCTGAGGTTATTTTGTTACGCAAAATACCCATGGCAATATAATATGGCTCTGATCCCTCAGTATAATAGCTTATCGCGAACCTAGCTGCTTCTCTCCATGCCGGGTATTCTGAAATTTTACCCCTAAATTCCGGTAGAGACTTTATCAAATTAAGATCAGTGTGGGTACTTCGCACACCTTGAAGAATACTTACGGGCTCAAGAACTTCTATTTTTTTTGGTAAAATACTCTGAAATTCTCGTTTTAATTCTGCTAACTGTTCCCTAAAACTCTGTTCAACTACTTCTACTGTCGACTCTAATAAACTAGCAACCGCGTTTCTATCCATTTTTAATATTTATTTATTATTATTTTTATTTTAAGGACGCAAAATTTATATGTTTTGTAAATGAACTACCTACCCAGAATGTGTTTTAAAGTACAATACTTAAGAAGACTAAACTAATTATTTCTTCATTCATACATATTCTGCCAAATTTCCTGGTAACGAAGATGCTGCCGTTTTGTGTTTTCTCCTGGTGAAACTGAATTGATCACTTCCACATCCGATTGGTAAAGATGATTTTTTTTTTTAGTTCAATATTTTTATGACATTTATAAAGTTGCCTTTAAAGCTTCATTGTTCACAATTTTTTTTATGATTAATTTTTTTCCGCAGAAAGTTTTTTTGTCTGGGATTTTTTATACCCTTTTTATAAGGATTCGTATTTAGAACACAATTACTTTTATTAATAAATTGTATTTGTTGCCTTTTTCACTTTATTTTTAAAGCGATAATTAAGAAAACTTTCTGTCGTAAGAGTTTTTTTTTTTTTTTTTTNTTTGAGCTGCCTGCCTAACATGCTGCCGCTATGCCAAGCAGTGACCACGGTAGTTTTTTTTGGTGCATATCAAACTCTTGCATTGATGTTGCTATGCTGTCATAATTTGTTGTTATGATAACTTTGTTAGGCAGGTAGCGGGGATATTAGGGCTGTTCCCAATTGGGTTCGACATCATGTTTTAACTTATAACAGAGTCGCTTTCTGATATTAACGGGGAGAAATCGTCGTCGTTCGTTCCCTCATTTATTTAACGAAAAAAAAAAAAAACGAACGCGATGAACGTAAGCTAACACATGAATAACCGAATGTTTGGTTGGCGTATTTTTGAAAAATATTTATAAATAAATAAATAAAAAGGAATAATAAACTCGGAATACTAGTCAAATAATAGATATAATATATGGGATGCTGTTTGGTGTATTGACTAACATACATACATATGTATGTACATAGGTACCCACCGATGTCAACTACTTTACACTGAGCATACACCTCGATTTTCTCATTATTAGGACTTTATAAATTACTTATCTTAATCAACTTAAAAACAAAAAGAAATTTACTTTTGTGAGTAAAAATTTTGCCTACAGCAGGGTTGTTATTGCTTGTCTTACCCAAGCACAAAACCCAACAGCCCCGCGCTACCGGTAACCCTACCCACCAGCATTCACCAACCAGCAAACGCTGTGCAACAAAAGTATTGAAACACAAGTATGTAGATATGTATGTGCGTGTTCATATACTATCGAAATAAATCGTCTCTAATTTCAAACAACCAAATTCCATAAAAAATCGGTAATTGGGATTTGGCATAGAGTTAAAGACCAAGCCCTTCTCATTTATTTCGTCAAGTAGTATATATGTACATATATAAGAATGTATGTGTACATGAAATATATTTCGTTATATAGAACGTCAATTTTTATATGCCTGTCCCGATAAGTGACTTCGTCGCCATCGGTCTGTTAACGTACGAAAGTCGTGCTACATACAATAAACGAAACATACGATGACATTACACGAGCAACGAGTTGGCAGCCATATTGGTTTGGGTCGAAAAAATATTAATATTATTTTTCTCTGATTTATTTTTCATAATACGTGTTTGTATGAAAGTTTTTGCTTTTTATTTTATTTTTGATTTTTTTATTTCTTTAAATCATGCTCTCAAGTCTTCGGCCCATAATTGCCCTTTCGACAGCTTCGATATTTTTATGTATGTATGTATATTGTTACATAAATAATGAACGTTTTTTCAATAACAGGCTTTATTATTACCATTAATCGAAATCGGTTCAGATTTTAGCATCATATATAATATATATATATATCTTTTTGTTAACGTTATAACTGTTTCATTTCTCTTTCATTGTTAGCTGCGTTGCTCTTTCCCAACTGGTTGTATTGAAATATGTATGTATATATGTATGGATATATATAAGAGTGTGTATATCTTTCGTCGATGATGTTTAACCGTGTGCAGTATAGGGAGCTCGTACACATTTTCTCGCTCTTCTTCTTTTTCCCATGTCTATATTATCGATTGTAGAAATATTTTTTAGGTTATGTTTTTGTAATAATGAAAAATTCCACATTTGTGGGTTCATTTTTAATCATTTTGTAAAATCTACAAGTTATCTTATAGAATTACTGGGTCTGCATTTCGTTTCAAGTATTCCTCCGAATTCTACGGGATTCTTAGGTGTTCGCCTTTTGGGCAAATGAAGTGGTGCATATGTATATCAAGACAATTGAATATAGTGTAGATCTCTTACACCGGAGAAATAGTTAAGAAATTATAATAAAATACACGAATTGTATCATTAGGATGGTCATGTTGTCTTGCATGTTACAAACACGCGTCATCAAAATAGGGTTACCATGTATTTAGATAAGTTGGATTCACAAGCTTATATTACCCGTCATGGACATAACTGTTTTTCTCGTTAATTGTTTAATCAAGTCTGCAATCGCAACAATTGGCTTATCGCTCTTTTAAACTGATTGATCTCTGTGCAATCCCCATCAAGAAATATTTCAGGAGATTGATAATAACCCTTGTATTCAATGCATTTTAAATATAAATACAGCGATTAAAAATAAATACAGAAGACATTGTAAACATATTTAAGAATAAAAATTGGGATTAATAATACAAGCCAAATAATAATGAAAATGTTTAGTCACAATCAAAGAGTAGTCAAAATTTTATGTTATGGCAACTCTTTTGTATATGTAAAAAAAAACTACATATTTGGTGTAAACGACAAAAGTTTAAAGGCGGGATGCTAAAATTTGCTTGCATGAAATCCGCAATATTTTAACTGCCCACAAACATAATAATAAGCAAATTAATATACTACTTTCAAAAAATTGGCAAGTACTTACTTCAAAAGGAAAATCTGTATCCCATGCAGAAAATAGGCATTACAATGAAGCTTTCACAAAATAATAGAAAACTACAGCCTTCAACGACTCAATACAGATATTTCACCAATTTTTTTTTATTTATAAATCACTAATATTTTTTAATCAATTAAAATTATTTTCATTTGATAAATGACCGTCCGTGATTATAATACTCGACCATTCGCAAAACAACAATAATTTCGGATTTGTTTCATAGGCGCACCGCAATTGACAGCTGTCAGGTGAATATGCCTTAGGCAAATCAGAGTTGTAATTACTAAAAAAAAATTAATTTATATTTTAATAACTGTTTATCAGTTTATATAATTATAGGAGGATATATAATAAATACACAACATGATAACTGCTCTGTACTACTTAATTTTTTGATATAATATGTATATGTGCAGAAACAATGTTAAATTTAAAAAATAATTTAATTGCGCTATTTAGCGATATCGTGTAAGAGGATTTGCTAAGCAAGAACCCTGACATTGCATCAAAACAAAAACACAAAAACGAAAAACAGCTGTTTGGTAATACAATTTGCGATAAAGGAAAAAATGTTAAGGTTAACGTAACATAATTACAAAAAAAGTTGTTTTCGAAATGAGTAATTTATTAAATATAACGGTCAATGCCACAAAAAATATATTTCGTTCAAACACCACTTGCCGTCTACTTCATCGCACGCCACATTATATAATTAAGCCAACAGTTACTCCAAAATCGAGGCTTCAGCTTAACAAAGTGCCAGTACGTAACCACTCTTCACCGGCCTTCGATGTCAACACAAACGTTACCAAAGATGTGATACTTTTCAAATATGAAAATCCCAGATACTATAAAGTATTAAATATATTTGGCTTGTGTCAATTTGCGTTCTGGACATATCTGTCGCATTTTGCGTTTACCACACTGATAGATGCGCCAGTGAAGGGCATACCTGAAGAAGAATTAAAATGGTACCAAAAAATTAATTTGGGAGAGAACAAATATCGTAATGGCATTACAACATTCTGTTTCCTTATAGGTAATACTTTTAGCTGTAATAGTTTTACTTTAATAACGTTCTCTATATTAAAAACTCCAATTGTAGGCTATGGCATCCTATGTGCAACCTGGTTGTTCACATTGCGTTCAGTGCGCTATTTAATACTTCGTAAAGGTGGTAAAGATGTTGCATTTGTTACTTATGGTCCATTTAACAAAAATCGAATAATGACCGTGCCATTAAAATTTGTATCTGCACAAGAATCGCGTGAAACTGCGCGCAGTCAACTGCCTATTAAAGTTAAGAATCGTACACTGTATTATGTGCTTGATATGCGTGGAGAATTTAAAAATCCTCAATTGTTCGATTTTACTGCAGGATTAAGGCGGCGTATTGATTGAAATTAAACTTGGTAGATATTACTTTTCAGTTAATAAAAAGTGTTTATTTAATCCAAATCTTATTTACTTATAAAATGAACTTATCGACGTACGTAATTATGCTATTATGAAGGAATCATATCAGTAAACTGGTTCTCGCTGCTGTGTGATTAGTAAACCAAAACGTTTTTTGATCGTCAAACGTTGACGGGAGTATTTATCTTCCGGTGAGAAGCGAGCTGGATGAGCAGAAATTGTGGGCTGTCCATCTTCAGTGCGTTTCTATAGGGATAACGAATAAAACAAATCAACTTTATTAAATAATAAATAATAAAAATAAATATTAAATCATACCTTTAAAGTATAGACACGTTCGCCTTTTTCATTTAATGTGTACATAAGATACATTTTGCTCTGAACAACTTTTTCTATGAAATTATGAATTAAAATTTGTTGTTCACACGTGTTTTGCACAGATTATATTGAAAACAAATGCCAATGACTCGGAAATGTCAAAAAAATGCTTAATTGTGAACGGGCAAATAAAACAGCTGTTGATTGTTAAATGTTGCCACAGTTTAATTTTATGTTCAAAGTCTTAAGAAGGCGTCTTGGTAAAACGAAAAATTGATTTGATATTTGGATTAAAATACATTTTTTTAATTTCGTTTTTATATTATTTGGAATATGTATCTTATTCTAAAACAAATTTTGTTAGATTAATACATGTTACAATAGTGAAATGGATTTAAAATAAAAATAAACTCTGGTAACTTGACTGGGCGTGAAGAAGAAGAATTGACTAATTTTCTTTGTTATGGACGGAGTGATTTTTGGTAGAAAAACTAATTTGCACAGAAAATTAATATTTGGCACTGTTTTCGACAAGTTAAATTATAATAGAAAGAAATCGACAACCGTTTCTACACCATTTTCGCTAACCAAAATGGTGTTCAAAGACTTAGAATGCTGTTAAAAATGTAATAACCAAAACGGGTGGAGTACAATAACTCAAGCGGTAGTAGGGTGTAGGGTCGCTGTTTGCAAATCGATTGGAATTTGAAGAAAAATTTATGCTTAATAAACATTTAAAAAACAACCGAACGTGTAAGCATTAAAAAAGAGTAAAAACGCCAAATTTCTATATAAACCATGCATAAACGTAGGACGTAATACAACTGACCGAAGAGAAGTTTAGTTCAAAGTGCAACTTAAAGGTACAAGATGAAACATATTTTGACAGCATTTAACACCCTTGAAAAATAAGTGTGTTGTTTTAAAATATGTTTAAAATTACTGAAATAAATTAAAAAACACATGCATATATATGTACATACAAAGAATTAAAGAGCGAAATAAGAAAAATAGTAATGACTTCATCCCAATGTTTGAAAAGATGTAAACAAATAAAAGATATCTCTTGCTTATCAGTTTCATACAATAAAATGTAGCACATTTTGACATTTTTTTTTAATTTTTAAAATAATACAATATGTATGTATGTATGTATGTATGTTTGTCACTGTTGTTCTTTTCATATCAATAGTTAAGTTTCTAACTATACATATTTTTTTAGGTCCAATATGCGATTAAAAATATTCAGCCATGCAAAAGCCTTCCAAGACGTTTATAATATATCATGTTTGCTAGCATCGAAATTACGACTTATAAATGATCACATAAAAATAATTGGTTTATATAAATCTGTTGGCAACCAAATGTATTAAGAGCTTATCGAAGCCTTTAGCGCAATGGAATCACTTTATACATGTATCAGTGATCGCAACACTTGCACTAGTTAAATGCGGCACCGCATATGAACTTTATCAGACAGCTACATGCAAACATACATGTACTCCCGCCATTGTTGTACATCAGCTAATAAGTTTTGTGATATTTTCGTCTATTACATATAAGTACGATTGAATTCGAGTAAAGTAAATCAATATACGACAAAAGCAGCCAAAATAATTATTGAAGAAACAAAAACAAAAACAAAAAGTAAACGTGAACGTAAACGCCGGAAACCGCCATATTGCAATTTAATTAAAATTTAATCATATTCATCAATTTATCTCAAACCGTACGCAACATCGATAAATAATTAAGTAGATACACGACAATTTACTTTCACCAGCAACCTCGCTACCATCAAAACGTCTACCATACAGATTGTAATGTTGTCCGACGTTGACGACAACGATGAATTGGACACCATTGCCGATGTTATGGGATTACGCTCACAAAAGAGTCTTAATACATTTCGCGAAATGTGGTATCACATATTTCTGTGGGCACTCTTCTCCTCCGTATTCATACACACATGTGCTGCATTGGTGGCCTTTGTGACGTTACGCAAACACAAATTTGGACGTTTCTTTTCCATACTGATTTTAGTAATGGGATTTCTATCACCGGCGATGAGTGGCATCGTGAGTAGTGCAGTGATAGCTTTCGTGCATCGAGCCTCCAGTTTGCCAATGTCGCCGATCTATGCGATGGTGTGGGGTCTAGGTCAAACGATAGTGTCGGCGTGTTTAGGTTTTACACGAATTTTGGCTACACTATAGAAAATAGGTGCGCAACTGGAGGGGACTGAATGGCAAAGAGTGAGTGACCGACAGACGGACAGTTCCATATATACATACGGACACACACGTAAGGTTTTAGTGATAATCGCTTAGTGTTTTAAGTATAAATAATATAATAATTACTACTATTGTAAAAAAATAATAATTATTAAATATTTTATTAGTTATTATATAACAGGTCCTTAAATTTAAATGTTCATATTTATATTTTCCTTCTAAATGTATTGATGTATATTTCTTTTTAAAATACACATTAGTTTTAGTTAACGATATGCTCTTTATAATGTTAATTTGTACATTTTTTGTTTATACGGTTTTTTTAGCTTAGTATTCGCTTAACTGACAATTTATCAAAATTTATATACACAAAAATGTAAAACAATTTAAATAAATCATAAAAACATAAAACAACAAACTATTCATTCATTCTTAGTATATTTTTTAAAAAGCATTATTAGCCAGTAAGCGATAATAAGGGCAATGTATTGATGGAAAGTTTATTTTTGGGTTTTCTAGATATCAATTTGAAAAAAAAAACACTACCGGAGTGCAAACCACACCTGCTAAAACGCCAACGAACTTAATTTAACTGTCTATGAAATTTGTACAAATTTTCGGCCAATTAGAATTATACATGTAAGCATTTCCTTAAAAAATTACACATTTTTAAAATTTTACTTACACAAATACGTATGCATATGGGAAATATTGAATTTATAATTTATGGTTTTTATTTGTTAATTTCATTTAAGGTTAAACAATTAGGCCGACATATCAAGAGCTAAAATTCGAAATGAAAAATTAACTTGTTTAAAGAAAAAGCATAAAAAAATTCAAAAGGTTTTAATATTTCTCTATTAACTAATATTTTTACATCTCCATATAGAAATTCCACAAAAAAAATTTTAGTCGCAAACATTTTTTTATTTTTTTTTTATTTTATTAAGCATACCTCTTTAGTTTCATTTTTCAAAAGCTCAAATAATTATTATTCATTTCATACATAGCAACAACTGTGTGAAAAACATACGTAATTTTTGAGATTCCGTTATTATTAAAATATAAGAAGTACATGTCATAATAATTAAAAATAATATAAAGAATCATAATATACGCTAAAATTTGTAATACTCAAATAATGTCGGCCTGTATGTAAGTGAACTCCATAGAGCAGTTAATTCGTTCATTAAAATCCTTCGAAAATTAATAGATTCTATTTCATATTGTATTTTTACTTAATACGAACAAACAACCTAGGGACGATTAAAAACTAAAAGCAAAAAAAAAAAAATAAAAATAAAATCTCAAAATTTAATGGCAGCCTATCATGGCCATAGCGTTTTGAATGTACAATTTGTCAAATTACTTAAGCAAATACAAACATACATATGTATATTATATACCTACTAATAAAGAATATAGGAAAAATTAGTAAATATTGTATAACAAAATTACGGAATATGCAAATGTGATTTTTAATTATAACTGATTAATATTGTACTATTAGCAATTGTGTATAATTAATCAAATAATATTCTAATTTATGATATTAAATTTAATGTTTATAAATATAAATAATTCGTACATACTCATATTAGGTACCACCAGATCATTTAAAAATCAGTGACCAAAATGACTAATTACATAATACATGCATACATACACATATGAAAAGCCTAATATAAATCTGTAACTAATTTTAAGAACTAAAATAAATAATAAATAAAACAAATTAATAAACATGCATATATGTATACATAAATTTATTTCTGCTTTATAATTCTAAATGTATAAATACGATATGAAAATCTATAATAAGTATTTTTTTTTTATATAATAGCATTTGGATCTCTGCTGTTATAGAGCATATGCAATTTTCCACTCAAAACATTACCAATACGTCTGTCCGATTGTAATGGTTGCGGCGCACCACGATTTATTTTCAAATCGGCTATTTTTTCTCTTTCTGTTTCTGCATCTTTTTCGAATGCGTCTATCAGTCTCTTCGGACATGGATATTGCGCAATTATTGTCTCAGCGACCTCCAAAGTAACCAATGGCAAACGATTCAAATGCTGTTGCCATAAACGACCAAAACCGCTTGTACCCACAACGCGCACACATTGTTTTTTATCATTTGCCAAAAATTTCTTGAATGTACCTAGTGTTTCGGATTTTTGTTGTTTGTATGGTGCTTCGGCGATAGCCTTTGTGAAACGACGTAGCGTAGCTGCAACTTCACCAGCAATCGGTGGAATTTGTACACTGGCTGTTTGGTGTAAGACTTGTAAATCTATTAATGAATAGTTGACTGCTTTTGAATCGGCGGTTTTATTGCGATGTCCTAGCAATGCTACTGTATGTTTCGCTTCAGGATAACTACTTTGCAAGCTTCGAACTATTTCAGACACTGATCGCTCCTTACTTAGCTCTTCCGCTGTATGAAATTGTATTACTTGATTTTCAATATCCCATTGTGCGCTTAATGGGGAATCTAAATTGTCGGTGGGTAATAATTCCCGTTGACCTGTTTGACGTTCCCAAATCACGCACATTTTCAATGGTAAGTTGCGTATAACATAGTTTAATTGAAGTTTATCAATCTCTGATTTTAAATCATGTCCAAGTCCATGAGCTTTGGAGAACAGTATGTCGCTGTCCAAAACCATACGTACATATTTCTGACATTCTCCTGGTTTTATGCGTTTCTGCTGATCACGTATGGCCTTTTTTTGCAATTTATCAGCTTTGGTCTCCATTTATGGTACTTTCTTTTTCGATTTTCGCTTTATAATTTAAAATTTTACCGCCATTGAAATCTTTCAACTTTCATTTGGAAACAGCTGACTGTCAAAACTATGCACTGTTGTGCATTATAAACTTTAGGCACTCAAAGCACATTTTTACATCTTTCAAAATCAAACTATTTTTTATAAAGCTTTAAATCATAATTAAGACTAAAAATATGTCAAAACGTTTTTGTTTTTTAGGCAACATTTCATAACCGAAGAAATAAATTGTTATTGTGAATGCTTTAAAGAGCTCCGGTTTATTTCATAGCGTATTATGTGGCAACACACACCATGTCAGCTGGTGTCAGCACCGCTGAAATAAAGAGAATCCAATAGAGGAGTGAGAAAACAAAAGTGATTTTCCGAAAGCCAAATTTTAATTTGCTGCCGACAAAAAAAGAAAATACTAATTTTTCCATTAATATTTGTTTCATATAATAAATTGTAAAATGAATCGTGCGACAGTGAGTAACTTTTTAGTTGATTGTTGTTAACAACTATACGCCATATATACCAATTTTTAGGATTTACATGATAGTGATGAAAGTGACAGCGATTTCTGTCCAGAGAAAGAAGCCGGCATTGAAGTTTCAGAAGAAGAGGCCTCGAGCGAATTATCTAGTTGTAGCGATGAAGAGGACAAAGAGGATGACCAAACCAAAAAATCGAAGCAAAAAGTATCACGAAAAAATGCTAATGCTATTAAAAAATCACAAGCAAAAAAATTGAAAACCAGAAAACGTGCACGTGCACAGAATGAGGAAGACGCTAGCGAAAGCGATGATGAGTGTAAAACAGTCGACGCAGAGCGCAAGCGTAACACGCGACAAACAGAGGCTGCTAAGCGATTATGTGATGGTACGGAAAAGGACACATTGGAATCGGATGAGGAAAATAAATCACGATCAGACGCACTTTGGGCAGATTTTCTTAGCGATGTAAAGCCAAAAACATCCCAAACAGTTGCAAAAACAACAGCAACTACACAACGTAGTTCTACACAATCTAATGGCACATCAGCAGCCACCACGACAAATGGTTCAAGTGGCATAGCCAAAAGTGTTGAAAAATCTAACACCGATGAAAAACCAACAGAAATGAAGAAACCCGAAAAGATAACGGTAACAGAAGTTTTGGATTTTGCGGGTGAAGAAGTGCGCATAGAAAAAGTAGTGAATGCCGATAGTGTTAAGGAAAACAAAGAGTCAACAAAGCGTCCGGCAGCAGGAACTTCAACTTTAAAAGCTGGCCTACCAGCAGGTTTAAAACGACCAATGGTTGGTGGTGGCAGTAGCGCAGCCGGTTTGGGTTCAATACTGAATCAAATTGGTAAAAAGAAGAAAATATCTGTGTTGGAAAAATCACAATTAGATTGGAAAAGTTTCAAGCAAAACGAAGGCATTGAAGAAGAACTACAAACATTCAATAAAGGCAAAGATGGGTATGAACAACGAAGCAATTTAATGTGAAAAAAAATAAACACAATTTTATTTATTTCTTGCAGTTATTTGGAACGTCAAGACTTTCTTCAACGCACCGATTTGAGGCAATTCGAAATTGAGAAAAACCTACGTCAGACAAGGCGCAATAATTAAGCACAATTAAATCCTAACTTAATAGACTATCTTATACTACCATGCATACATACGTGTAATTCAAATTGACGTATACATTCTAATTTAGTTATGTAATATCTTAAATACATATATAAGCATTTGATAAAATTCACATGTTCATCTCGTAATCACATAGCTAATGTTCAAATTCAAATAAGCTAATATTCACCTATTATGATATCCAAATAGTACATAAATAAATATAACTACTTCAAAAAGAATATATACACATAAATTTATATAAACTATGGAAATAATATTTTCAAAAAACAGCAAATAAATAAATATTTTGAGATGAGCGCTTAAAAAATTATGTCTAAATCTGTATATGTGTCTAATTTCTGGCTGCAGAATATGTGTAATATTAAATCGACACATAAATATGTTAAAAAAAAAAAACAAAAATAATGTTTGCGAAATTCTCAAATAAAGTTGCATGTGGCCAAAATTGAAACGTTTTTTCTTTCGCTTTGAAGTTTGTAGCTTAAGTTTTTTATGTAGAATTTTCGAACGAACGAAAACACATTTCAAGTTGTAAGTCGAAGTGGAACACGCTGAAAAAAATTACTTTTTTTTTGGTTTAGAATAGACTTTTTTTGTTGATTCTATATTATCACAAATGTTTCATACTCTTTGCTCACTCGAAGAGCAACTAACAGCACTAAACCGTGTTTCTCTTTGCCAATTGCCAATAAAAACCATGTAAAGCAACGATTAATAGTTGCTTGGTACTGAGTCATTAGCATACGTACATACATACATAAGAGCGCTAGCTGCCTTCGTTCAACTAAAAATCTAACTGATTATGAGTTGTAAGACACTCGGTTGGCTCGTCAACGCTTGTGGCCAACGTGAGCTTTAGTTTAAGTACTCAAAGTTAAATTTGCGCAGCTCATCGTCGTCAGTTGGCTGTTGCTTGGCCAAAACCTTTTGGACATTATCAGCAGACATTCAGTTAGTTTTCGGCTGTTGGCGCGTTAAATACGTCTTCCCATTGCCCGTTGTGGTGTTGCGTATGGGGAAAAAAGGTGAATTTTGTGTGGAAGAAAGTTAAATATGCATATGCAGTTGCTTTAGATAATTTAGCGGTATTTTCTACGTAAACAAATGATGACCATTTTTTTTGCGATATTTTTCTGAGCGGAGCACAACGCCCGCTTTCTGTTGATAACAAGTGAAGCGTGAAAAAGTGACAACAGTTCCGGTGGATTTCCCTTTCTTCGGTGACGATTCACCATGTTAAATAGCAAATAAACAAAGAAATAAATAAATAAATATATATATATATATGAATGTATGTATGTATGCTTATGTGTATGAAACTTACGATAAGCACCAACAACAATTCGCTGCATCAACTCTTTTCGGAGTTTAACTGTGCTCAACAACAACAACAAAAACAACAACAAAAAATGGAATGAGTTGTAATAGTTAACTGTTGCTGTTAAAAATAATTTATATACATATGCAACAATACATACATACATACATACATACATATATACATACATTTATATATTTTTAATTAATATATTAATAAATAATAAAAAAATATATGCGTAGTAAATTACAGTTATAACTTGAAGAGAAGTTATTACATTTGTAGCAAAAACCCGCAAATTTCAACAATTTTAAAATAAAAAACAAATATTTCCATTGTGCAACGTCTGTGGTGAAAGTGTGTTGTCGCAATTCAAAAATAAAACGCCTAAAATATGTGCATACATATACACATGCACACATGCATAGCGCCAAAATAATGCGAAATATAATATGAAAATTGAAACAAAATATAAATAAAATAAGAAAATAATAAATGTTATAAAGTAGTCAGTGACCGTTTGGCAAAAGCCTTCAATAAAAAGTGTAGCTGTGTGGCAGCTTGTGGTTGTATTGTGTTGCAAGTTATTCACACTGGCTGGTGTTGTTGGTGTTGCGTCAATTTATCTCGCTGCAAAATCTGCCGTGAAAGGAAAACCAGGACGTTAACTTCCGACAACAGAGGCTGTGTGCGAGCAAACCAGATCTGGAGAACACGCGATTGTTGCGAAAAAATTCAACTAAAAGCAACAACTACAACACTATATAAGACAGTTGGCGGAAAAGAAGTGCAAGAGGTAGGAAGACTTAAAAATTTTTATAAAAAAATTAAATAAAAAAAAAATAATAAAAAAATAAAATTAAATAAAATAAAATAAAAAAAAATTAATGTAATATCAAAACGAATTTAATAAATTGAATGAAATATAAAATAATAAATAAAATAAAGAAAAAAAATGAAATAAAATAGAATGAAAAGAAATTAAAAAAAAAATTTTCTAATATAAAATCAAAAAAAAAAATTGATATATTAAATGAAACACAAAAAAAATTAATAAAAAAAAATAAAAAAAGGGAAATGAAATAAAATGAAATAAAAATATTTCAGAGAATATCAAAAGGAATTTAATAAATTGAATGAAATATAAAATAAAAAAAATAAAGTAAAAAAAAATGAAATAAAATAAAACTAAATTAAATAACAAAATATAATATATCAAAGAAATAAAAAAAGGGAAATGAAATAAAATGAAATAAAAATATTTCAGAGAATATCAAAAGGAATTTAATAAATTGAATGAAATATAAAATAAAAAAAATAAAGTAAAAAAAAATGAAATAAAATAAAACTAAATTAAATAACAAAATATAATATATCAAAGAAAAAAAAATGGAAATGAAATAAATTGAAAAATATAATATAATATCAAAAAAAAAAAATTAATAATTTATTGAAGAACAAAAAATAAAATAAAATATATTAAAATAAAATAAGTAAAGTAAAATGCAATGTTATAAAACGAAATGAAATGAAATGACTTGACATTATTTGATATGACATGATATGAAATGAAATAAATAATAAAAAACAATAATAATAAAATAAATTACAGTAATGTAAAGAAATAAAATAAATTATATGAAGTTAAATTAAATTAATTTAAACTAAACAAAATTAAAAAAAAAGAAATAAAAAAATTAATTAATTAAATTAAATAAAATACAAAATAAACAAAATATATTAAAATGAATTATTTTGTTATATAAAATTAAATTTTTGTGATGTAATATAGCCAACCAAAAATAAAAATTAAAATGCTAAAAATGAAATAACTTTAAATTAAATGAAATCAAATACAAAATTAATAAAAAAAATACTAGAGTAGACCTTTCTAAAAGGACTTAAGAACAACATTTCAAGGCTTTCTTATTTATTTTAAATCTATGTTGTATAAATATTGGATGAGTGCATAAGTTCGTGCCCGATTTCAAGTGCAAACTAAAATTGAAATTTTTTGAAGAAAGCGCTTTTATTAATCAATTATGTATTCGCCATCATGTTCGGCAATCCACTCCCAACGTTCAACCAATTTACGGATGCCTGATTCATAGAAATCGCGCGGTTTCTCGTTGAAAAAGGTGTCAAGGTGGTTTTTGACGTCTTCCACATTTTTAAATTTTTTACTGTGCGGAGTGCTGGAGCACGGTCCAAATAAACTTCGCGAATATCTTTAGTTGCAGCGCCTACTGTTTTTCCTTTGCGGAATTCGTATAACATAATATGACGCATATGATCTTTTTCATTGTCCATCTTCCATGCGTCTTTTCACTAAGCAATTCAAATCAAAATGAAGTTATTTTATGCTTGATTTACAGTTCGGACTGTCACCTTTCCAACGATATATAATATGTATATATTTCTTTCACGAGCGCCACTCTCAAACGATTCGAAAGGCATCCAGCGGAATCGGGCACAAACATATGCACTCATCCAATATTTGTCATTTCATATATTTCCATTTTTTTCATAATTTTTTTTTTAAATATTTATCTCATCTATCAGCAGGTCTCCTATTTAATATGTTTAAAAAAAGGTATTCAACTTCGCAAAGTTTAGTGTTAACCAGCAATTCGCAAGTTCCAGCGACAAAACCAAAATCACGCATGCTAACCTAATTATATTTAATAACATTAAAGCACACATACATGCGCTTTAGCTACTCACACATACATGCACATACAAATTCATGTAACTAGCTGTCCACTCACATACAATGCATGGCTTGAATTAAGTTGACTTGTTGTCGAAAATTACATTACATTTGGCTTGCGCACCACCAACTTCCACTGAATTCATTTCAATTACTTAATTACCTCAATTTTATTGGTATTATATGGTATGGCTGAAGAAAAAAAATACCATAAATGACACATGCGCAAACAAATATTCGAAAAAATTAAATAAAATAAGAAATGGAAAATACTCAATAAACAAGATTTCAATTTTTCCAAAATCGACTGCAAAGTGGTTATGTGACCCACTAAGCAAACAACTTGTGTGGACACTGTCGCTACTTGTAAACGGCGATCGAATGACGTTGGTCAACTGCGAAATTGGCACTCTTGCAATTCTCTTAGTAACTGTAAATGCTAACGCCACTATGTAACGTCTACAAACTTCTACTGTATTTGTTTTGAAAATGCCAAAAATTGAAAGCCAAATGTCTCGTGATGTGAGTTGAGTAGGGGGTAAAACAGGTTGTTGTAATTCAATATACACTAATTTCATGCTATTAAGAAAATCTAATACTTTTTTTTTATAGAAAGAAAACTAGACAACTCGTTCACTAAAATTCAAAAATTCAACTAAAATATTTTTATTTTATTTTGTGCATTGAGAACAGATAGAGAAAATTTCAAAAATGTAAAATCATCTCAAATATAATTAAAGTTAATGGAAAATTTATAAACAACATGTTTTGCTATGAAAACATTCCAGCAAAGCTCCGTAGTAGGCAGTAAACAAAAGACTTAAGCAACGAACTTGCGGCGACTTAGGTTTCTTCGTTACTTTAACCTTAACCTGTTCTGTTTGTAAAATACAGTATGGACAGACAGGAAGATTTTCTGTTCAGGAGTAGACAATTGTATCAGCACAAGGTCGTACAGTGAACTCAGCAAATGATCGGTGTAATTTAAAGAATAACGAAAAAAAAGTTGTCATAATAAGGTTGAAGTAAAAGGAGACTTGTCAGTAGGATTTACACAGTTACTCCACGTTAAGTAAAAAATTAAATAAAGTATGCTGTTAAATTAGGAATTAAAAAAAGTAACGGCTGAGAACAAAGGCTTTTAATTTTATTAATAGAACAAGCAATTTTCGAGCGTGTACCCAAAGTGTTAAAGAATAAAAATCAAATAAATAAATAAAAATCAAATAATTAAATAAAAAAATAAAACAAAAAAATAAATAAATTAAAATTAATAAATAAAAAAATAAATAAAGAAAAAAGTAATCAAAAAAAAAATTATAAAAATAAAAAATTAAAGAATTATCAAAAATAAATAAAAAATAATAAAAAAGTAAGTAAATAAAAAATAATAAAACAAAAATAAAAACAAAGTCAAAAAAAAAAATAATAATAGAAATAAAAACAAATAAAAAAAATGGAACACAAAGATAATAAAGTAAAAGCTAAAAATAAAGAAAATAATTAAACAATTTTAAAAATAAAAAATTGAATAAAAATAATAATAAAATTAAAATAAAAAAAAAAAAATAAAAAAAGAAAGAAATCAAAGTAAAATAAATAAGAAGACTGAATAAAAAAATAATTAAGCAAAATTAAATAAAAAAAATAAAAAATTAATTCAATAATAATAAATTAAAAGCAAAAAATATATAAAACAATTTAAAAAAAAATAAATAAGTAAACAAATAAAAATGAAAAAATAAATAAATCACAAAAATAAAAAAAAATTATAAAAAAATAAAAAAAAAACAAAGTAAAATAGAAACAAAATATTAATAAACTGATTAAAAAAAATAAACAAATCGAAATAAAAAAAATAAATATAAAAAAATTAATTAAGTAAAAACAAAAAATAAATGAATTACTTATAAAAAAATAAACAAATAGAAATGAAAAAAATAAATATAAAAATAATAAATACACAATACAGAAAATTAAAACTAATAAACCCAAAAAATAAATAAAACGATTCAAAGATGTTAAAATGAAAAATGTTTTCCCAACAATTGAAAACAAATTAAATTTAAACGCAAAAATACAAATGCATTAAATTACAATAATTTTAAGAAAAAAAAACTCAAAAAATTTTTTTCATAGAAATTCGTTTACTTATTTTTTTATTGCATACATAAAGAGATACGGGACCATGCATTTTACGGTTACAAAAAAGACATAAATAAAATGTGTTTAAAAGAAATTTTTTTTTTCATAATATTCCCTTCTTTGAAACCTTGGCATTATATTATATGTGAAACACTACATTATTCAAATGATCGCCTCGCGAATTTTCGCGAAATTCGACTTTTTTGGTTCATATTGAGCGGTATCTCTGCCACACCTGGTGCTCAAGTGCTCAAGTGTTTATCCGCTTAAACACAGTCTTTCGCAAAGCGCCACAAAAAAACCATCCGAGAGTGTCTAATCGCATGATCTCCATGGTCAATTGACATCGGCAAGGCGGGAGATTACGCGACCGAGAAATTTCTCTCGCTATAAAGTTATATAAGCTCATGACTTGTGACATTTGGCACCATTTTGTTGAAACCACATATTGTCCAATTCGCATTCTTCAAATGCAGTCCAAAAAAAGGTGGTTATTACACGACCATAACGTTCCTAAATGACAGCGATAGTTCAAGTATAAAATACACCATAATATGTGGTGAGAAAGCCCCAGTTCTTGATAACGTAAACCACCACAATTTTATTTTAAGTACCGATATTTGAGGTGAAATGAGTAAAACGATGCTGCATAGACCCCATAATATCGGTACCCTTTACAGCCACCCGAATTTCTTTGAATTTTTACGCCAATTGCTTGACTATTTGGACGATCATGTGCAACATAATTTCCGCTTAAAGCGTGAAACGTACTAACAATTTTTTCAAAAATATTAACGCATTGTGCGATACTTAAGCGACAGAACATGTTTGGTTTGACAGTTAAGTCTGACAGATGTCAAAATACAACCGCGTACTTTTGAAACCAAGAAATGGACAACCCTATATATATTAACCTCTGTGCACTAAGAGTGACCTTCATT